CTTCGTCACAGAGGCATCAGTTTTGTGCCTGGTGAATAACGATTGTTGGCTGTGCTAGGAGGCCATAAGAGGCCCCTGAACCTTTCACCAAGGCCCCGGCTTCATGCTAATGCTGGGACTTGTCAGAGTGGGCGCAAATATCATGATTTCCACTGGTGACGCTGCTGGGTGGAGATGGAGATGGGTGTGGATGGGGGTGTTTGCTAGGAGCAATGTGGGTTGCAGGCGGCAGGTCCTGTCGCCTGAGGAAAAGCCCATGACAGGGCGAATGCTGGGAGATTGCCCCCATGCAGGGATCTCTCTGGTCACGGAGGCTGGGTGTGGGCAGGGGATATGCCACTTCTTCAACCCCACAACTACCCAGCAACCCACATGGGTTTCCCCTAAACTCCCCCGTGCACAAGACTCCCACCTGAACTATGTCAGCAGGGGTTCATTTGGGGAACTGGCCCACAGCCAAGCCCTGCCCAAGGCACCCCACGGTGGTCAAAGCCTCCCTTTTCTGAGACTGGACGTTCCTAGCTGCTGGGCCCCTTCGGGACTGGGAACAATTCGCAATCCTGCTCCTGGCCCCAGGACAAGCTGTCGCTCACAGCAGGGTGTGCTGGTCTTAACCAGGTGTCACGGACTCACAGGACTCATGCTCTCTCCCAGCTCTGTGCAGTCCCTGGGAGGAATCCCCTGGTTCAAATCACAAGCCTCCTCATCAATATCCCTCCCCAATTACACCGAAGCACACTTTGGAATCTAGGCTTCCTGCCGAATTGGCATCTTGGGGTCCTTCCCCACTTAACCCACGGCAGGTCCTCTTGGCCCACCTCTCCTCCAGCTCCAGCTGACGTTTTCACTGCTCCGAGTGGTCAGCTACCCTCCGCTCCTCCAGCTCCAGCTCCTTCACTCTCAGCTCCAATTCCCATCTCTTCACATCGACCGGGGGAACCTCGGTTGGGAAGCCCCCTTCTTGGCTGGGGAACTGGGTCTGGTGGACCCCCTGCCACTACCCCAGGCTCTCCGGGCGGCCCGGAAGGCCTGCTGGAATCTGGAACTTGCTCCGTGTACTGGTCACTCTCTGCCAGCCAGGCAATCAGCTGCTCCTGAGTGAGTCTCCCAATGCTCAGCCTTCACTCCCTGCACAGACATGCCAGGTCCCTCTTACAGAGCTGATTTCAGGCCATTTACACGCTGGTTCCTTCAATCCTCTCGCTTTATCGCTGGCAGCCACTCACTGCAAAGCGCCTGCATTCACAGCCAACCGTCTACAGGGTGCATCCACCCACCATCCTCTGCTACCATGTTGTCACGGACTCCCAGAACTCCTGCTCTCTCCCGTACGGTCCCTGGAAGGAACCCTCTTCAGTGCGACAGCCCTTCTTGGGGGTCCACTCTCTCTCGGAGGTTAAGCCCCTCAGCCTCCAGGAACCACACCTCTCTGAGCCTTCAACACACCTGCCTCTGCCATGGGCCCCCTCAGGGAGTCCACTCGCTCTGGGCCCTCTGGACCTCCACTCCCAGAGGGAATAATGCCCCCCTGTTCTCTAGACTGGAGCAATTCTCAGCCAGCGTAACACAGGAGAGTTTATTGCATCTGAACCCAGCACAGGAAACCCTCATGGTCTCAGGCCTGGCAACCCTCAGCACAGTGCATCTAGGTCTGTCCCACATCCAGGGGGGCTCTGGTTGCTCTCTCCTCCCAGTCCAGCTGCCCCCTCCTTCCAGCGGATCATCTGATATCATCAGCCCTAACAGCTCCTCCCTGTCCTTTGTCTTCCATCCCAGGTAAACAGGTCACTGGGCCCCTCTCTCCTCAGTCCTATGTTCCCGCTCTGGCTGGAACTGGTTGGTCATGTCACCCGGGTCCTCCATCCTCAGCCCATTGTCCCCCCACTGGCCATAACCGGCTGCCTTCCACGCTTGGCTGGGCCTCTTGGTCACCAGGTCACTGGTCGCTAGGGTCCCCCATCTCCAGGCCATTGTCTGGGGTCCCAGCTGCTAGATAAGGCCGTACCTGGTGCTCTGCAACAACAAACTCTCTCCCACCACCTTGCTAAACATGCAGCATACAGGAAAACTGAGGCACACAAATGCTATTCATGTAAAACTACAAAAATCCCCAACTTCAGGTCACGCCTTCCTGTCATTACGACTTCCTGTCGTGCTTTGGTCAGCAGCGAAATGGCTAATGCTAACGCTTCAACAGTCATAATCAGGGGTGTGAATTAGCACCCCTTATCAGGGGGCATCTCATCGAGTTTAAGACCCAGAGGAACCATCACCTCATCCATGACCTCATGGATAGCCCAGGGGCCCTTACACTTCACCCAGATCGCCCAGTATGGAGCCCAAGGGCTATGTCTGCACAGCAAAGAAAATCCCCCAGCTGGCCCGTGCCACCCCGCAGGGGACAGAGCCCAGCAGTCTACCAGCAATGAACCAGCCCTGCAACCTCAGCCAAGTCAGCTGGCATGGGCCAGTCACGGGTTTCTCTTTGCTGCGTAGACATCTCCTTAGACTAAAGCAGGTCAGTCCTCCGGACACAAAGCTGCTGTATGCCCCTGGCAGAGAACAGCAGGGCCCCAGGTGCTGCCGTGCAGGGGCAGGGAATTGATGAGGGGAGACACCCAGCTGATCCCAGCAGGCAATCCCCACCCCACACTGCAGAGGAAGGTGAAAAGCCCCAAGGTATCTGCCAATCTGACCTGGGAGGAAATTCCTCCCTGACCCCACCTCCGGTGAGTAGCTAGACTCTGAGCACATGAGCAAGAACCACCAGTCAGGCGTCTGGAAGGGGAATTCACTGACCCACCTCCGAGCACTGGCCTACCCTGCCCGGTGTCCCGCCTCCACCTGAAGTCAATCTCTGGTGCCCCAGATACAAGTAGAAAAACAACCCAGATACAGCTGACCAAGGCCAGAATCCACCTCCATTCTTGGTAGATTGTTCCAGTGGTTAATTACCCTCAGTGCTAAAGATGTGCGCCTTATTACCAGTCTGAATGTGTCTAGCGTCAAAGCCCAGCCATGGGATTGTGCTCGACCTTTCCTGGTTAGACTGAAGAGCCCACTATCAAATATTTCTTCCCCCTGTAGGTACTGAGAGACTGTACATTATGCACTGGTGGGGGAAAATACCAAACATCAGAATGGCCAGACTGGGTCGGACCAAAGGTCCATCCAGCCCCGTGTCCTGTCTGCCGACAGTGGCCAGCGCCAGGTGCCCCAGAGGGAGCGAACAGACCAGGGAATCACCAAGTGACACCTGCAGGCAGCTGACAGCCTGAAGCATAAGCTTTGATTAGTCATTGTTCTCGCCTGGGAGTTATTGTTCCAGGGTGTCTGCAGTTTGGCAGGTTTTCATGGTAACCCCAAGGTCTGGTGATTTGCTCGTTTATTTTGTTATGAAAACTGAGATTCTGGAGCACAGGATGGTGGCACCAGGCTGTTGGGGACTGCACCCTACCTCCCCCCTTCCCCCACCTGAGCCCAGCTGGGAATCAGGAGCATTCTCCTGCCTCTCCAGGAGGCGAATTTCTTTGCATCTGCACAAAAGCAGGGAAATCACACTCTATGGTCCACAGGGTCCAGGCTAGGGATGGAATAGCAACTATATCCCCTCCCTGCTGCTGTCATGGTATGTTAGGGCCCCTGGGTTCATGACAATGCAACCCATGATCTCTAGATGATCCCTATCACTACCCCTCATGGTAGCTTAGGTTGGGCTGACCTGGAGACCCCCATATGGTGCCCAAGGGGTTTGGAGTCCCCCCTTTGCAGCTATTCTACCAGTGTCCCCTTGCACAGGCCCTATGGGGGGTGGCTTGAGAACTGCTGCATGGACCCTGGCATGTAAGAGGTGTCTGCTGCCTTCCACCCCAGAGGTGGCTGCATTTTGGTGGTAAACATAACAACTGGGTCAGACCATGGTCCATCTTGCCTAGTATCCTGTCTCTGGCAGTGGCCAGTACCAGAGCTTCAGGGGGAGTGTACAGAACTGGGCAACTATGGAGTGATCCATCCCTGTCTTCCACTGCCAGCTGCTGATAGAGGTTTGGGGACAACCAGAGCATGGGGTTGCAGCCCTGACCCTCTTGGCCAATAGCCATTGATGGACCTGTCCTCCAGGAACTTCTCCGGGTCTTTTTTGAACCCATTTATACTTTTGGCCTTCACAACAACCCCTGGCAGTGAGTTCCACAGGTTCACTGTAGGTTGTGTGAAGAAGCATTTCCTCTTGACCGCATTAAACCTTCTGCCGATTCACTTCATTGGCTGACCCACGGTTCCAACAGTGTGTGAAGGGGTAAATAACACTTCCCTTTTCACACTCTCCACACCAGCCATCATCTTATAGACCTCTATCATCTCCCCCCTTAGTGGTCTCTTTTCCAAACTGGACAGTGCTAATCGGTTTAATCTCTCTTCCTGCGGCTGCAGCTCCAACCCTCTGGTCTCTTCTCTGAACCTCTTCTGGGCCCATTATACCCAGTTGGAGCGGGGGGACCAGAACCGGAGTTTGTGGCTGCTGTATTTGTGGCTGTGCTATGCAGCAGCTGGGACTGGATGATCGCTATGGTCCCTTCTGGCCCTGGGCTGGAGGAATCGGTCTGTACAGCTGGCGAGAAGGGCCAGCCAGGGACAACAGCAGCTCCCCCTTCCCATCGCTGGGCTCAGGCAGGGACGGGGGCTCACCACGCGTGGGAGCCAGTAGTGTCCCCCCCGATAAGAACTCCACATCCTTTCCGGGTTAAGGTGGTCCCGGGGGATCTGCCAGGGAAAGCGCCCCCCTCCCCTGCTCCTTCCCGCGGGGGGTGCTCCCTGGAGCCCAGGTCCCGGCCAGCCGCCTGCGGCAGCAGGGACCCCCAGCCCCGGGTTCCCTCGCCCTCCCCCAGCCCGAGCCGGAGGTCCCCACGGGGAGGCGGGCCTTGCAGGCGGCGGGTGGGGGAGCCCGGCTTGGATTGGCTGCTCCGGGAGAGGCGGGGAGCGGCGGGGCCGGGACTGGTGCAGCCGCTGGTGCAGAGCCCAGATCGGGCGCGGCAGCCGCAGCGGCGTGTCCTCCGGCTCCGCCCGGCGCCCTCCCATGGCCGGTGCCTGCTCCTGGCTTCCAGCCGCGCCCTAGACCGCTCGGCTCCGGCCCGTCCCAGCGCCCGGGGGAGGAAGGAGCGAGGATGGGCACGGTGCTGTCCCTCTCCCCGCCCGCCGCCTCGGGGAAGGGCGGCGGCGGCGGGGGGCCCCTGGCGCAGGGGGCTGCCCCGGCCAGGGCGCACGGGAAAGGCGAGAGCCGGCTGAAGCGGCCCGGGGTGCTGATCTCCGCCCTCACCTGGAAGCGCCTGGTGGCCGCCTCGGCCAAGAAGAAGAAAAACGCCAAGAAGGTGACCCCCAAGCCGGGCAGCGGGGGGGCCCGGCCCGACCCGCTGGTGCAGCAGCGTAACCGCGAGAACCTGCGCAAGGCCCTGGGGGCGCCGCAGGCGGCGGGCGCGCCCGGCCCCAAGCAGGGGCCCCTGGCCGTGCCGGTGCCCACGGTGCCCGCCGCCCCGCAGGAGCTGCAGCCGGGCGGGGGCAAGCCGCCGCCGCCCCCGCCGCCGCCGCCCGGCAGCCGCGCCCCGGGCTCCCCGCGCCGGGTCATCGTCCAGGCCTCCACCGGGGAGCTGCTTCGCTGCCTGGGGGACTTCGTGTGCCGCCGCTGCTACCGCCTGAAGGAGCTGAGCCCCGGCGAGCTCATCGCCTGGTTCCGCAGCGTGGACCGGGCGCTGCTGCTGCAGGGCTGGCAGGAGCAGGGCTTCATCACCCCGGCCAACCTGGTCTTCGTCTACCTGCTGTGCCGCGAGGCGCTGCGGGGCGAGGAGATCGGCAGCCAGGGCGAGCTGCAGGCCGCCTTCCTCACCTGCCTCTACCTGGCCTACTCCTACATGGGCAACGAGATCTCCTACCCGCTCAAGCCCTTCCTGGTGGAGGGCGACAAGGAGCGGTTCTGGGAGCGCTGCCTGGCCCTCATCCAGCGCCTCAGCGCCAAGATGCTGCAGATCAACTCGGACCCGCACTACTTCACCCAGGTCTTCCAGGACCTCAAGAGCGAAGGGGAGACCGGCGGCAGGAGGGACTCCGGCCCCAAGCCCTGGACTATCAGCCTGGACCGCTAGGAGGTCCCTGGGGCTCCCTCCCTCTGCCCCCACCGCCGCCAGGGAGCTGCCCGCTGGAGGGGGAGCGGCTGGACTTCCCTTCCCCCCAACATCGCCCGCCGGAGCCGCCTCCAAAAACTGCCCAGCCGCTGGAGCTGCCGAGGAGGCAGCGAGGACCGGGCCTGTGTGAAGGCGGCGGGGAGGGGAGGGGCACTGCCGGTTCGCATCTCCTGGGGTGGGGCTCCATGCTGTATGCGGGGGGGGGGACAGGCTGCTCTGGCCAAGGGGGACCCTAAACCATCAACCGAGGTCTTGGCGGTGGCTGCCTTCCCTGGAAGGGAGCGGGCTGCATGGCAGAGCGGGGGGGGGGGGTGACTTGTCCTCCCAAATGGGGGGGGGCTCTTGGATTTGGGGCTTTGTGGCTGGCCTGAGGCATGATTAGCCGGGTTACGTCTTTACAAGGGGAGATGGCAGCCTCTCCGTGCTCTAACCTCACCTTCAAGGGAGGGGACCCGGCCCCCAACACCCCTGTGCTCTTAGCCGCTACAGTGAATCACAGTACGGCGGGGGCCAGGGATCGGGTTTGGTTCGGTTTTTGTAACCGAAAAGAGAAGGCTGCAATTCTGCATGCGAGTGTCTGTCCGGCTCTGCCATTGTGGGTGTATCACACGCAGCCGCTGGGTCCGGAGATGGGGGGACGGGACGGGGCGTCCCGCGCAGAGCTGGCTGGGGGCCCCGCGGGGGGAAATCCCGGCGAGGGGCAGTATTCCCCCCACCCCCCACCGAGTTCTGGTCTCCGTCCACCCCCCTCCGCCCGCTCTCTGGGGCTGGGGAGGGTCTGGCCCTTCCGCTCTGCCTTGCCCGCTGGGAGCCGAGCCGGGAGGCAGCCGCCCGCCTGCTGTCTGAACGTACCGAGCCCGCGGGATGCTCGCCGCGCCCGTGTTGCTCAAATGTACAAACCAGAAGCAGATTGTTTTATATTGTATATTGCAAAGAGAGATAAACCTACGGAGACCAAGCAGAGCCCGGCGGCGGGCGGTGAATTTCTTAGCCCGGGGGCAGGGGAAGAAGCTGGATCACTGGGGAGTATGTTTACGGGGAACACGTTTGGGTTTTGTGGTGAGCCGGGGCCAAGCCTTTGCCCTTGGCTGCTGGTTGCTAAAAGAGGAGCTTGGCAGTAGCTCCTTGGTTCCCTAGCTCTCAGCCCACTGCGGAGCCTGGAGCAGGTTTCAGGGGGGCCGCCCGGCAGGGCCAGCGTTGGACTCGCTGGGGCCCAGGGCAGATAGCCGCAGCCCCACGGCCTGGGGCTGAAACCCAGGGCCCTGAGCCCCGCCCCCCAGAGCTGAAAGGGAACCTGAGCAATGTAGCTTGGTGGAGGCCCCTGTGGGGTGGGGCTCCTGGCAATTGCCCTGCTTGCTACCCCCTAAGGCTGGCCCTGGCTTATATATGCAGAAAACCAGTTATTGGGGCACAGGGGGGCCCTGGAATTTTATAGCATGTTGGGGGGGGGGGCTCAGAAAGGGGAAAGGTTGAGAACCTCCGGCCTAATGGAATCTAATATCCAGTGGCCCTGCGAGCCAGCCCCTCTGTGTTCCCCAGAGCACCGGCAGTAGGGGGTGCATTTCAAGAGCCGACCTGCCTCTTCCCCCCCGTCTCTGTCTCTTTCTTTGTGACTTACACTCCAAGCAGAACCTGCTCTGGGTTTTCGCATGCGGGCGGGGGGGGGGTGTATGTAGATCCTCCCTTGCAGTCTTTTCTGAATAATACAAAGAGACGCATTCTCGCCAATCCCATGCACCTAATCAAATAATCTGACAACCAGCCTGTCCCTCCCAGTGCAATGAATGCGAATGGTGCCTGCTTTAGGAGGCATTGTTAGTGTCCCCCCCCCCCCCCCCCCCCCGCGTTCGCTCTTTCCAGACAGGAAGTCTGGCTCGAGACTGGCACCCTGGGAGAATGCTAATGTCCAGCCCCCCCCGCTGTGCAGTAATAACCCTTTAATTGCAGCAGTCCGGGTCCGGGCCCGGAGGGCTCCGGGGGGCTCTTCTTTTAGCAAGTCACGGGGCGTTATTTGTCCCCCTGGGGTCACTTCCCAGAGTCACGGATCCGCAGGGAGCGACGCGGCACGGGAGGGGCAGGGCCTGGCTGAAGAATACAGTGGCGCTTTAGTCCCTTTCCAATGATTTACTTAGAATAATAATAATTTTCCCGGCTCCGACGGTGGCCTGTGTGATCTTCGGCTGGTCCTTGTGCTGTTCAGTTCAGTTCGGAGTTGGTTGCTCCCCTCGCTGGCTGGACCCGGCGGGTCGAGGCTGGGGAGAGCGACGGAGCCCGAGTGCTGTCCAAGGTACTGAAGGCTCTGGTCTAGTCCAGTTCGCTTTGCAAAGCGCTGGAGTGATTTTCCCTCCAGGCGGGATGTTTTGGGGGCAGGCCAGGCCCTTTCCGCCCTTCCCCCCCCTCCCCCCCCAGCAGTGACCTCCTCGTCTGGGGCTCACGATGTACAATTCTATGGGGTTAAACCCACAGCTCTGGTGCTATGGTGACCCCACCCCCAGTCTGGCTTGTGAGCTGCCTGCCATTCCAGCGCTGTCCTCTCAACCTTCCTGCAGCTTCCTGCCCACAAAGAAGTGGTAACGCGGAGTTTCCTTTTTACACACTAAAAGGTCCTGAGAGACAGGTAGCAAGAGCGGGATGGGGCAAAGCATTTAATTTAAGCCTGGGAAGAATCCGAGTGAAGTCAATGCTATGACTTGCTCACTTAGTTCAAGCAGGTGCTTAAATGCTTTGCTGGATCAGGCCTGAGGCCTTGCCACCTGGCAGAATTGAGCCATGAGGATAATCTAGAGTTACAGGTGACCTACAGAGGAGTAAAGAACCAGGCATTTTGAGTTTGCTGCTTTGCAGCATATAAAGGCCTGGAAGGGGGTTATTTTATTTTGAACATTCGGCTCACTAGATAATCTCAATATTTTCTTGGCGGATTCCCCAACTGGTGGCGAACTGGAGTGAAAGTTTTTGCAGTGCTTCCTGGAAGGGATGGGGAGTCAAAAATGATCATAGTCTCCCAAGGTGCCTGAGTCATACAGAGGTGGTGTTGAAAACTTCACACAGCCCATCTAAAGTCCCTTCCCCTCTCCATGGCTCGGAGCTCCCTTGTGATGACAAAGGCTCTAGATCTCCAGTGCATTCCAGGAATCCTCAGCCAAAAGATAGCTTCTCTTCCCCCAGAGAGATCAGCACAAACTGCTTGGACTCTGCTGGGAGTCAATGCACCATGGGAGAGTGAGGGGACAGGTAGGCTGGGGGTATCTGCACCCCTACTGGCCCATCTCCTGCTTGGCATTCTGCCTGGTCAGCATCTCTTCCCTGCTGTCCTTTGTGAGCCCCTGAGCCTGCATTAGCTGGATATTGAAGTGTATCCGGCGTGAGAGCAACGGCCTAGCTGTATTTCAGAACATCAGACCCATACTCACCATTCTGGCAGCACTTGTCCATGCTAGATGTGCCTTTTACGTGTCTAATGTACTTGTCCGGCCTGCATCACCATTGTATCTGAGCACCTCACAAGGGAATCTGCGGGAGAGCCAGCATTCAAACCCAGGTCTCCCAAATCTTAGTCTAGTGTTCTAACCATTGGGCCATCTTCCTTTGCTGCTTTCTAATATTAATTGCTGACAGGTGCTATGTGGCAGCAAATGGCTGTTAAAGGACTTTGTTCTCACCTTGGTGTATAAGAGGTAAGTTTTATCCCCAGTTCACAGCTGAGGAACTGCAGGGCCAAGGCCCTTTAGCTGCCCAAGCCAGGAGAAGGAGTTGGTAACACAGCCATGGTTAGAAAGTGGGAGACCCCAATTCCCAGCCCTGAACACCTGAACCCCTCTATTTAGCCCACCATCTCATCCCCCATCACAGAGCTCTTTAGGGGCCATCTCAGCTCTTAGTCAATGATTAATGTTCACTCCAAGTGCAGTTCTGCACTGAGAAATGTCTGTGCAAAAATGGCACCTTCACACTCCCCAAACCTGCTTCCTGCATACCGGCCACACTTGCTCATTTCGGGGCCCGAGTCAGATGCCCATGGAGGTAGCTCTGGCTGCAGCGTGCGAGCTGGATTCTACCTCTGGCTGCATGTGCAGTGTGACGAAGTGGGCCTGTTCTTAATGTTTCCTCTGAATATTGTGGGGGTGCCTCAGTTTCCCCTATGCAGTTCTTAAGTATCTAGGTGGTGGGGTAAGGGTGTATGATCATTGCAGAGCCCTAGAGGGCAGGTGTGTGCAGGGGTCTGGACACAGAGAATGGCCGACACCCTGTTTCCTGGCAACTGATGGCCTGGGCCCTTCCCCCTGCAAGGTGAGAGCTAAAGGGTTGGAGAACAAAGGAATCAGGTGACCACCTGGCCGGGAAAGGAACAAAGCCCAGAGGAGGAGGGGCTGGAGGGGGTTTTCAGTTTGGGGCTGGCTGGGACATGGAGTGAAGTGCAGACGTGGTTGTCTGGCTCACTGCCCCCAGAATGGACCCAGCTGAGGGGTCCCGTTCTCTGCACCTGCAAGCTCTGTTTTAGACCATGTTCCTGTCGTCTAATAAACCTTCTGTTTTACTGGCTGGCTGAGAGTCACGTCTGACTGCGGAGTTGGGGTGCAGGACCCTCTGGCTTCCCAGGAGCCCCGCCTGAGCGGACTCGCTGGGGGAAGGCACGGAGGGGCAGAGGATGCTGAATGCTCCGAGGTCAGACCCAGGAAGGTGGAAGCTGTGTGAGCTGCGTGTCCTGAAGACAGGCTGCTCACAGAAAGGCGACTACCCCAGAGTCCTGACTGGCTTCATGGGGAGCAGTTCCAGAGCATCGCCCAGGGACTCCGTGACAACTGGTGGCAGCGGTGGGATGTACTGCACCCCGTGGATGGCGCTTCCTGCAGTAAGTGACTGGGGAGCAGTAACACGAAGGGGGATTGCCGAGGACCAGGCCTGCTGAAGGCTCAGAAAGGAGCGTTTCGGGGGCGGTTAACCCTGGGAGTGTGTGACAGCGAGAAGGACTGTGCAGATTGGGGTCCCCCTGGAGACTGCATGAGCAGTCTCAGGGGCGGAGGAGTCTGCAGCTCGACCCTGGCAAAGAGGTGGTGACCTCGAGAAGGGCTGGCACACTAGGGGTTCTCCTGGAAACCGTGGGGAGCTGAGAACACAGGACCTGTGAGTCCACAACAGCTGGGAGAGGGAGTGAGGCCTGTCACCGTCTCCTTAAGAAGGACATTGTAACCCTGTGCAAAAAGAGAGGGTTGAGCTTTGGAAAGTTCACCAAAGCAGAGTTAATCGTGAGCTGGAGGAGGATGACCGCTCTAAGGAACAGATTCCTGACCCCAACTGGGGCTATAGCAGGATCTGGGAGCAGCTGGAGTGGGAGCCAGGCACGCCAAGACTCCTGTCCCCGACCAGACGAGGGTCTTCACGATCGGGTTCCCCATCGGGGGATCGAGAGGAGGGATTGGAGCTGAGTCGAGAGAGAAGAGGACCGTGGGAGACAGCGAGAGCCCGAGAAAGAGCTGCAGAAGCAGCAGCATGAACTGGCGTTGGGGAGCGGAGAGGCCTAGGGGACCTCCCGGGGTGAGTGGGGATAGACCCGGGTGCCAGTTCCGCAGGGAACCTCGAGACTAAATTGCTGCCCTGGTTAAGGATGGGGGGAGGTGGATGCCACCTCACTGCCTTTGAGCAGGCTGGAGATCTGAACCAGGGGGACCCTGCGGAAAACCCCGGTGTCTAGCTCCCTTGCTCGGTCCCAAGGCCACAGACTCCATCAGCCAGATGGGTGGGGAGGTGGACAGGCTCCCACTCCTGACCCCAACCTATATGTCTGTGTGGAGTTCCCTGGGGTCGGGCCCTCGGACTCCCAGTGGGAGCAGAAGGTGATGGTGAATGGGGAGACATTCCTGGGGTGGCGAGATCCTGGGACAGAGAGAACTGGTGTCAGACCCTGGTGGTGCAGCCTCAGAGGCTGAGGGCCTGTGTGAGTGGGTGAGGGTCCCAGGGACGAA